CACTAAGTGTCCTGGGAGGACAAAAATACACAGGATCCAGTCCCTGCTTCTTTCTCCGATAGACAACCAACCATCCTGGTTCGCTGGGACTATCCCAGTCTAAGCACTAAAAGTCTCGCATCCTGGGAAACCGCTCAGCTCCGGGCGCACTGGGACAGTTGACCACTTATGTGAGGTCTCGATGGGCAAAGGAAACCACATGTTTGATAATAATGAACACTGCCTGCAGGTAGCATGTAATGCCATGTCTAAAACAGAGACCAATGGACACAGAACCACCGTGCTGTGCCAATCCCATCAGAGTCTGCAACAAAAGGAAAACCTAACAATACTGATCCTTCTTTATTTAAAAATGCAATTACTCACAATATAGGAAGGTCATGGGGAAGGCAGTACAGCAAGGAGAGGACAAGTAATGGCTCTAGCATCTCACTATGCTGATGGACAGTGACTGCGATGAGGCACGAGAACTTGATAATATGGGTGATTGTTGAAACTGCAATGCTGTTCATGTGAAACCTTCCTAAGATTGTTTATCAGTACTTTAATTAAAAAACAAACAAAAAATGTGATGACTTTGTTGACTTTGGGACTTTTGCATTAGTTTACATTTTTAAAAAATATCGCATCAAAACATTCATTACCTTTATTACCAAATTTTTGAGTGCTCCCTTAAATTTTGCATCTGAGGTGAGCAGCTCTCTTGCCTTACTCTAGTTCTGACCCTGTAGGGCAGCCTGAAGTGCTAGCTCTGTCACCTCAGCACAATATTTGAGACCTGGGGCAAATCACTTGCCTTCTCTATATGAATATCCTTATCCCCACAAAGAACGTGGACTACAGAGCACCTAGGGGCTCTTCCAAGTCCAAGTTCTGTGTTTTCATGCCTAGATGTGGGGAAACTGATAGAAGTAGGAGGTAGATAAGGCCTGGGACAGTCGTGGAGGAAAGAAGTAGCATGTTTGCTTGCCTACTACCAGAGAAACAGAACTGGTAGATTTTTATATGTACTGTGTATATAATACATGTATATCATATATGTAGTATGTATGTATATGATATATGCCATATATCATATATATGCATGTGCAATATACATGATACATGACATGCATATATGATTTACTTCAAGGAATTGGCATATATGACTGTGGGGCTGGAAAGTTTGAAATTTTTAGGGCAGAAACTTTGGGCAGATGCCAACGCTGCAATCCACAAGTAAAATTTCTTCTTCAGAGAAACTTCAGTTTTGCTCTTCAGGCCTTTCACTGATTGGATGAGGCCCACTCCAATTATCTCTTTTACTTGAAGTCAGCTGACAGTAGGTGTTTATCACATTTATGAAATACCTTCACAGCAACACCTAGATTACTATTTAATGGAATAACTGGGTATTATAGCCCAGCCAAGTTGACTCATAAAACTAACCATCACGAGAGGAGAAAAATCATTCAGAGATGTTATGGAAATTGTCCAAGGTTACCCAATTGATTGGTGTGAAAGTCGGGACTGAAGATGTGCCACACATGACCACAAAGTCCATGTTTTCCCAAGAGGCTTGTGGTGTCTGGGCCTCTGGGGAATTTCCTGAAACACCAGAGCAGGTTCTTAATCCCCTCATGACACTGTTATTTCTGTGTCATAGTCATTTGTGTGTGTCTCCTCCTGGACTGGGGGGTTCTTTGAGAAAAGGTCCACGTGTAAATATCTTTTTCCCATCCACAGAACTAGTACAAAGTCCTGCATCTGTCCAGCATTCAGTGAATATTTGCAGAATTAGAGAGAATCACAATTCCCAACATGTTGTGTTTCCTATGCACCATCACCGAACTAAGCTTTAATTCTAAGATGTAAACTCTAACTTCTCCTCCTCCTTTTTGGTTTAACTTTTACTTTAAGTGAATTTCAATTTCCCCACCAAAAAAATAAAATCAAATCAAAGAGAATGTCCTTTGTGGCCATGACAGTATATGCTCGGATTCTGTGGGTCATTCTGACTTAACTTCTTGACACCCTTATGAGGTAGGTCCTACTATTGTTCTTGAATGCATCACAGGAAAATGAAGGGTCTGAAAAACAAGGAGTTGTCTATGATCACAAAGTTTGTTAAGTGGTGAAGTTCACACCTGAATTCAGGCAACTGGATTCTACCCTCTGCATGCCTAACCATAGTGCCGCACTGCCCCCATCAAACTGACCCCTGTGGCCAGACTGAACCTCATAGAGTTGATTTCCTCCACTTTGAGATGAGGAACGGAAAAGTACAAGCATTAATAATGGCAGCAGCAGGACCAGAGCTCTGGCCTCAGGGCTCCCAACTTGTGGGCACACGCCCTTGATTGCCTCTCAAACGGGCCTCTCTAGGGGCCTGCATGCCTTGCCTGGGCCTCCAGGTGGTATTTACTCAGCAAGGTGTGGGCTCTGCCTGGCTCCTGGTCTGTTGTTTGCACAGTAAATGTCACTTAGGCCGTACCAGTCTGCACCCCCAGCCAAGGAACCAGCAGAGACAAAAAGAATATTCTTTTGCTGGTTTCAGACACCTTGACTTGAGTTTTCAGTTTCTATCTAAGAAAATGCAAATCACTGAAAGTGGGGTTGCCTCAGAAGCGAAACAGCTTAAAAGCAGTGGGTCAGACCTGGGTCCTTCCATGCCTGTGCAGCTTCCAGGAAACTGGGTAATACCTGAAGTCACAGAGATTGAGATTTGAATCCTAGTTCTATCACTGACGAGTCGCATGACCTTTGGCTTAACCTCTCAGACCCTCAGTCTTTCTCCTCTGAGAAATGGAGCCAATTCCTACCTTGCAGCAATAAAAGAGAGAATGGATGTCAATGCCTCGCACAGGCCCTGGCATGCATCCCATACTCATTATCTGTTGTTCCTAATAATGACTTATTTCACACACCCTCACCCTTGTTCCTTTGAAAATAAAGAGAGCTTTAGAGTAAGGAGAACAAAAACAAGGCTCAATGTTTTTTTGCTACTCCGATTTCCTATTACCTGGTTTCTTCCTGGAAAAGGGTTCCAAGAACTTTTAGAAGTAGAAGTGAATAACCAAGGGAGATTTCAATCAGTAAATACAGATGTGCAGATCCCTCTTTCTCAGGGAGGCCACTGCCTACCGCTTGAAGCAAATCCACTCAATCAGTAACTTTACCTCCCTGGTCACTTTCCAGCAAGCGGTTCCTGTTCTTAAACCAGGATATGCAAACAAGGGCACTTACTGGAAGGGAGGTTTCAGGGCCTCCAGATTTCATCAGCTGCCTTCTCTCCCAGGAGAGCCGGTGGGACCTGTCAAGCCAGCAGCCAAGGCCAGAAAGCAAGCTGAACATTTCAAGGCTTATGGGGCCTCTCCTTTTGAGATTTTAATTTAAGAGGGATCCATTTAAGAAATGCCAAGGAAGAAACAGTATTGATTTATGGTTGCCCAGGGAAGTGGGGTGCAGAAGAAAAACAAGATGAAATAGGAAAGATGAGGGACCTCACTGTGCCAAGTTAGGAGGTGGGACAGGTGCAGAGAGAACAGCCTTGGGAGCCCTGGGTTCCCACCCCAGCTCCCGACCTCAAGAGGTAACATCTTCCTGGACTCCAAAGGAGAGTGACAATACTGCCTAAGCTCAGATACCTGGAAATCCCTTCTGGCTGTTTTAGGGAAAAAGGCAGGGCAGGGAATGGGGGAGGGGGTGACTGTGCAGAATTTAAAGTCAGACGAGGAGGTGAGGGAAGGCGGGAAATCATTTCTCTCTTTCTTTCCTTCTTTCTCATATTCCCACCTCCAGTTTTTAAGGAAGTTGTTGGTTAAAAGAGAAATATTAAGGAAGTCTTGAAAGGGACTGAGGATGGGGGTAGGAAAGAGACAAGGGATGTCCGAGGAGAGTTAAAAGTATACAGAAATTCAGAAGGACCTTCTTATCCACTTAGTCTTGGGAACATTAGTAGGTATTAAAGGCTGAATATATATTTTGTGTGAATTTCAGGTCTTTTTCTAGCACCAGATGAACTATTACTGCTTTCCTGAGATTCTATCTCAGGGGTCAGGTGGCATCTAGCTTCTGTAGCAGGGGGAAAAGAAAAGCTAAATCCTGTGCAAACTCCTACTCATCCTGCAAGGCCTGGGAGAAGATGCCCCCCTTTAGGAAACCTTCCCTGACGGTCCTGGGGAGTTAGGCCCTTGCTGCTCAGCACCGCAAGCGAAGGCGGGTTACAGTTATATTGCATTGGAATTATTTAGTTGTCTCCCTCTTCCTCTAGACTCTGCCCCCCTGAGTTCAGGGTGAATGAATGATCCAAAGTCAAGGTTTTCTGGCAGTCTGATCATGGCACATAGATGCCGAGACCCTGGAAACCAAGTAGAAATCATTCAATGCAAATGGTTGAACACCAATGCAGAGTGCAGATTTTCAGAAGAACCTTAAGTCAATACAAAGGAAGATTGTCCTCTTTTCTCTCACACTGATACCTGAGGGGGTGGGAGGCTGGGTGGAGGTGATACTTGCTTGATCAAGATTAGGAGAGTCCCTGTAGAAAACTGTTCTCAATTTTTCCCCAAAAATTTTTAAGAAAAACTTAGAATCAGACCATCTACTTCCTGCAAGCCTGAGCAATTCTTATGTTTCAAGACACTGATGAAACACTTCAACGGAGAAAGGTTAATTCCCATCCAAAGCTGCACCTGGGATAATAATCTCCTTTACTCCTTTATCTGTTTCAAAAAGGTAAGAAAAAATCAGACCCACAGACCCTTTGAGCTGTGAAGTCACCTGGTCACTTGGAAGGTAAATCTGAAAGACCCCCTGCCTCCAGCATGTTATCTGTGGAAAATCAGAGCATCTGGGTTCATCCCTTAGGCGGCTGCCCCCCAGGTGGGTGTACGAGACCGAGCTGGTGCGTGCTCTAGTCACTGGCACACCATTCCCGTGTGCCAAGGAGGCCACGTGTGGGCAGGGAGAGCTTACGAACAGGCGTTTGCTCCAGTTGTTCCCTCTCTCCTTTAGATATCAAGGCAGAGCATCTTAAAGGGAAGTAGGAGTGGCTCAGGCTAAGATGGGCCACATTTGCTCTGGAACCTGCAACTAAATGAAACAAACTCCTTCCTGTGTTCCGGGCACTTTGCTAGGTTCCTTCCATCCACATTCCTACCTCTTCTAGTAAAAACAAACAACAAAAAAGGAAGCTCTTGAAGGGGTTCATGGTTTATTCCAGGTCATCCAGCAAAGTCAAGTGCTAACAACCACTGTACAGCTCAAATTCAGCAGTCAGTCCATCACCTCTCGGCTCCCCTGAAGCTGCAGACCACTGCAGGTACAGACAACAAGTATTTCTGGAAAGACGCTGTCGGTCCGAAGAACTATAATAAAGTCTGTAATTCTAAAACTACACTGGAAAATACAACTCATTTTCAAATGTTTTCTGTGTTTTGTACAAAGTAACAGTGTCCCATTTTCAAATTGCAGATCCCAGCTTCTTTCCCAGATGACACAGCCTCTCACCTGTTCAGTAAAGAGCAGCTCCCACAAATCAGCAACCCCCAGTTATGGCGTAACCCAAACTCCACCTCCAGGATCTTACCGTAGGTCCTGTCCCTGTGTGCTCAGCAAATGTTTGCAGCCTTCTGCTGGGAATGTTATCCCAGGTCACACTAACAGGGCAAATCATTGGCAGCCTGTGGCGGGGTATGGCCCACCCTGGGGTCAAGTGGGCATTTTGTCCCAGGTTGGGAAAGGGAGTAAAAACTGGGGAAAACTTACCTGGTGTCCACTGCTATGACATTTTCCTGCTTTGTGGATTCCATCCGTGCTTTCTATCAGTGATCAAACTTTATCCTTAGACATGTTTTAAAGATTTGGACCCTCCATTATTCTGCTTAGCCTTCTGAGACCTGTCGAACTTCCTGGCTACCAAATATCAAAAGAGAGAAGAAGGAATAAATCTGATGGTAGTCTAAGAAGAGTTATGCCAGTTGGCATTAGGGTTGGACTGCGCTTGGTAACAATAATACTTGGCATGAATTACGGGCTTTCTCTCTGTCATGCACTGTCTTAAATACATGACCTTGTTCAATACTTGATTCTTATTTTACTGACAATGAAACTAAGGCTCAAAGAGGTTAAGTAACTTGTCCAAGGCTACCTAACTAGTAGGTGTTAGAGCTGAAATCTAACCTATGTCTGTCCAGCTGTTTCATAAGCCAAGGCCCCAAGCCCCCAAGTTGTAATGACCACTCTTACAGGGTATAGAAATGGAAGATGGATGGCCTTTGTCCCCGTGTTTTCTGAAGAAAACATAATTTTATGTCTTCCTCTGCTCCCAAAGCTTTTCTCTTCTCATATCCCCTTTATTCACCAAACCAGAGTTTGGTCTATATTTTACCCAAATGGCTCTTGGAACCATAAATCCTGGCTGTTTTCCTGACAAAAAAAAAAAAGTTTATGATAGAACAGAGAAGGTACAGCTTGCTGGCTTTCCCCACATGAGTATCAGGTGTACAAAGTCAGCTAGCTATAAATAAAAAAGAGGATTTTTTTAAAGGTTTTTTTTTTTATTTTGAGGTTTCTCTAGGTTGTTCTGAGGAAGCTCAGTCCCCTATAAGAGCCAGGTCATGCAAAAACTCAAGGCATCACCTAAACGTAAGGTCACCACCTCTCCTAAGGGGGAGAGATTCAGTTGCTGTAATTTGGGAGTCAAACCCTCAGCATACGTATGTGTCTGAGAAGGTTTAACTTGAGTAAACTGAACTCTTCAAATAAATATCATTTACTGAAATTAGTCATGAAACATTCTGCAAAAATAAATGTACCATCTGAAAGGTAAGTAGTCAAAAACAAAGCAGGATCCTGGACCAGAAAACAGACATAAGGGAAAAACTGGTGAAATCCAAATACAGGTCTAGAGTTTAGTTAACAGCCATGTATCAGTGCTGATTTCTTAGTTTTGACAAATGCACCTCTGGTATGTAGGCTGATGACATCAGGGGCAACTGGAACCAGGAGCGGGGGGCGGTGTACGGGAATTCTCTGAACTGGCTTTGTAACTTTTCTGTAGATCTAAAATCATGCCAAAATAAAAGTGCATTTAAAAAATTTCATACCCAGTGAATTGATAATTATTCTCCTAGTATTAATGAAGGGGGCATACAGCACATAAACTTCTTTCAAGTAAGGTAAAACTTGTTTCTCTGCCACCTTTGAACCTTGGTGTCAGCAAAGGTGCTGACAAAGGAGAGTCTGTGCTTTCTTTAAGGAGACAAAAACAAACGCAGAGCCATTTACTGCTCTGAGTCAATGCCAAGCGAAAGAGAGATAGGTGGGATATCTTTGCACTTTTCAAACGCATCTTTTCCTCTCGTGCTCTTTTAGGCCCTGTTTAGTCACTGGGCAAACGAACTGCAGCATTTTGCAGAAGCCAAAGGAGTATTGAATTTCTTAGAACCCTGAGACACACGAATGGACGTCAGGAAGTGTTGCAACTCTTCTCCAGAAAGGGCTGGGCAGCCGCAGGATTGAGGGCAACATCCATCAACAGCACGAGGAGGATTTCCTGCCCGCGTGCTTGGCGACTCAACACTAACTTGCAACGGTTCATAAACATCCTCCTTTAGGAACATATTCATAAAATGGAAAGCACTTCGATCACTAGCCCTAGCGAACCAAATGACTTTGTCCATTTCTAGAGGGTTAACAAAGCCCTGTGCATCCCGATTGGTTTCTTAGTTGTGACAAATGCATCATTAAGGGAAATTGTATCTGGCTCAGGGGTCTGTACTTGGCTTTTAAGATTAAGATGCAACTTTGATTCCATTAAGGAAATAAAAATATCATAGAGAACTTTGCTCCTCACACTTTCCCTTATTTTAGAATTTTATTTTCCTTGTAAGAATATAAACGGTTGTCTTAGAATTTTTGCTTTCCTTTTTCATTTTAGTGGTATTTAGAACAATGAGCAATCTAGTACTTTTTTGCTAGAATTTGCCTCTTGACTATAGCACGGGAGTCTATAAAATATGACGCCAAGCCAAGACATGGGACACATGAGTCTCTACAATGAGTGTCAAAATCATGGCACTGGGGAGCCAGCATTCCCAAAGTCTTCTCTCATTCTTCTGCTGAACCATTTTTAAATCTATTTAGTTAATAAACAGGGGAATACAAAGATGAGTCAGAGCAGTCCCTGTCTTCAAGGAACTTACAATCTCACACGGAGACACAGCCAGGTGAGATCGTACTGCCAAATGCCTCAGATGTTTGGCCAGAAATCTCTGGAGGACTGCATGGAAACAAAGCGAGTGCACTGTGGGGTCAAGTCCGACACAAGTTTAGAGCAGTGGTTCACAACCATCCTGGCTCCTTGGAGACCTCTGGGAATGTCTGGAGACAATTTTGGTTGTGACAATGGGTTGGGGGTGGTAACACTGGCATCTAGTGGGTAAGGGCCTGGGATGTTACTAAAATCCTACAATAGGACAGCCTTTCACAAAAGAGAGTTGTTTAGCCCCAAATTTCAATAATGCTTAGGTTTAAATGGAAAGATAAACAGGAGTTTGCCAGGCAACCTTTGGGGAAGAGGACATTCCAGGAAAACGGTAGAGTGGAGTGTGGGAGAGACAAAAACACTGGAAATGCAATCTATAGCCTTAAACTGATTATTTTGTCCCTTTGAACCTCAATTTTCCTGGACACAAAACAGCGATGCTATAATGTTAAGTGACTCATCTCTTTTCCTGATATTGGAATAAAGTGTCACTGATAATAATTGTGTCCCTGGCACCCACCTACTTACTGTCCCCCTACTCAGGCATACTTGTTCCTTAGCAGTGCTAGTAGCTCATTCAAGAGAAAAATAAAGATAGTTTTTGAGAAATCTCACTTAAGGCAATGTGGTGGGTAAATTGTCTCTAAAAGTGAAGGTTGTGTTATATGGCTTGTAAAAAGAACCGAGATGCCTTAGTATTTATATTTCTCATGTAGCACGGGATCAGGAAGTGGAATGCTACAGCTAGGCTGGGGCCAGGTGGCCACTTCATGATATAATCAGGAACCCAGACTCCTGTCATTCCTCTGATATCCTTAGCATGTGGCTTTCTTTCTCATGCTTGTAAGATAGCTGCTGAACCTTCTCAGCCTTCTGCCCTTTCATCAGCATTCCAGGCAAGAAGCCGCTGAACGAAAAGGGAAACAGGCAAAAGGTGAAAAACATCCAAACTGAGTCTTCTCCATTTAACAAACTTCCCTGGAATTCTCTCTGCCTAGAACTTAAACATTGGCCTGAGTCCCATTACACTGCTATCCATAGCTTCAAGGAAACCTGGAAGCTGAGTGTATTCAGTTGGGCACTCAGATAAAATTGATTTTCTTAAAAATAAGTAAGTAGAAAAGATGCAGTGTAGGTAGCTAGAAATATTGCCTTAGTGCCTTAAAATAAGCACATTCCAGGCTTTTGTAATGAGTCTAAGACAGACCAAACTTACATTGAATTCTGCTTTCAAGAAAATGTATTATGTTGCAATCTTCCAGGGTAATTTTAAAGATGTTCTGTCTTTTAAAGCATATTGTCAAGAACCTCACAGTTCAATAATCATTCAAAAAATATTTACTGCATGCCTAGTATGTACTCAACACTCTACTAAACACAGAAGACCAAAGAAGTACAACACATGCTTTCGGCTTCTAATGAGCTCATTGAAATCCAGTTGGAAAAAACATTTAACGTAAACAAATGAAAAGTTAGGTAACAATGAAATAATTAAATAACTACAATAAATAGAAATAAGAAAGCAGTACATTGCTGGTAGGAACATAAAATGAAAACCATTTTGGAAAACTGGCAGTTCCTAAAAATGGTAAACATACACCTACCCTATGACTAAACAATCTCACTCCTAGTTAACTACCCAAGAGAAATGAAAATAAAAAGATTTCTTCCACACAAAGATTTGTACACAAATGCTCACAGAAGCTTTATTCACAAAAGTCAAAACTTGGAAACAATTCCATTTCTAAACTTAAACGCAAGGATCAGTCTCACTCTTCAAGAGTAAAAATGGAATCAAATTTTGGGAATGTTTCTCATTTGAAAAAAAAAAACAAGTCTTCTTGGTTGGGAGTGCTAAACTAATTAAACAGAGGCCATCAGATGGAGGATAACCTTGAAGACATTATGCTAAGTGAGATAAGTCAGACGCAAGGGGAAAAATATCATGTGATTCTGCTTATCTAAGGTACCTAGAATAAGCAAATTCATGCAGAAAGAATAGAGGCAAGTAGCTGGGAGGACAGGGGAATGAAAAGTTGTTTAGTGGGTATGCAGTTTCTGTTTGGGATGATGAAAAAGTTCTGGTGATGGTTATATAACAACATGAATGTATTTGTATGTATACTTAATTGTATGCTTGAAAATGGTTACAATGACAAATTCTATGTTATATACATTTTACCACAATAAAAAAATGGGGCTCCTATTAGCCAAGTCTAGACAGTTTGATAATCAAAATAATGTAGTAGATTTTTTTTTTTTAGCTTCTTGGTAGTTTATTTGAAACTATGTTATTTCATGAGACAGAGAAGGCACACAGAGATGCTTATTCCATCCGCCAGGTTTGGGTCTATTTACAATAAGTCCCAGTATTTATAAAATGTAGTAGTAGGTTTTTTTATCTACTGAGTAAAACAGTACTCTAAATTGATACCAATATGCATAAATAAATAAAAAGGGAACCTCCTACCTCACAGGAGGATTCCAAGTAATAAATGGAGAGGGAATGATGGAATTTGGAAATCAGTATTTGGAAATTATTCTAGTAACTGATTAATTTAGGTAAGAATCATCAATGGATCCTAAAACTTGTGGGTAAAGTCTAATGAAGAAAAACAGGGTGGGTAGATATCTCAGAATAGCTTTCCACAAAATAGTTATTACTAATAAGTGCAATACTTAATCATTAATTTCACAGTGGAGAAACATGGCAGACTCCAGCTGGATAAAAGTTAACATAGTTTGTTATGGAACAAATAGGTGTTATGGAACAAATAGCTGACTCCTGATGTGGTCCACTGAGAACACAGCATCACTCTGTGGTATTCCTGCCCAAAACATACAAACCATGAGGTAACATCACATCAGATGAATCCAAACTGAGGGACATTCTACATTTCAGAAATGTCAAGGTTAGAAAGACAAGACTGAGGAACTGGTCCCAATTGAAGGGCACTGAAGAGACATGAAAATCACCATATGCAATACTTGATCTTGGACAAGATCCTGGACTTCATTGGAACAATCAGAGAAATTCGAATGGAGTCTGGGGATTAAATAGTGATATATTATCTATAAATATGCTAATTTTCTGGTTTTGATGGTTGTAAGGAGTTATATGCCTTGGTTCTAGGATATACATGTTGAAGTATTTAGGAGAATTGGGGCATTATATCTGCAATTTATTCAGAAAAAAATTGTGAATATATCATATATACATACATACACACATGTATATATACAGAGAGAGAAATTGATAAAACACAATAACAAATTAATTGGGAAGTCTGAGTAAGAAGTCTGCATGAAGAGGATGCTGGAATTTTATAATATTGCATCTTTTATGTAAATTGTATCAAAATTTATTTTAAGTTATATTTCCATTCTACTTTCCTACAGACTTTTATCCCAGTGTAATACAATTTATTCCTAAGTCTATTATTAATTACCCATGGGGTTACCCTGCAAAAAAAGTTTATATTTTTAAGTATTGAAAAACTTTCTTCTTACCATAAAAATTATTCTGCATGGAAGTATAACAATTAAAATCAGTACAAATTTTATGAAATTTATCAAAATACTATGCATCCCAAATTTTGATAATTATTAAACAGAGAGAGTAAAATGGTACTGTAAATGTATGTTTGGATTCACCTATCAATGTATTAATAGTACCTAGTTTTAGAATGAGACAGGGTTCAGCATTAATTTTATTCCTTTTTTTTTTCATTAAAAAAAAAATGTAAGTGTCCTAAGACGATGTTAATATAACTAAGTGGATGGGGAAGGAAGGTTTTTTTTGTTTGTTTGGATATCTTTCTAATTAGAAGCCAAGTCACATAGTGATCTAGCATTAAAAGTTATATTGAACTCTCAGTTGACAACTCAATTTGTCTCCCATCAATTTAATTGGCAACAAAGAATCAGAACCAATGGAGATGGAAAGAGATTTGATACTCACTGGTGAGGGGCATTTCTTTTTTCAGTACCATCACCAGTAAGTAGACCAGCTTATATGTTTGGAGCCACAGTTATATGTTTTAACTCAAGACATCAAACATATTACCACTTCAACATATCTCATTACAAAAAAATGATCAGTGAGATATTTTACATTTTTTTCATACTGAGTCTTCATTTCCAGTGTGTATTTCAACTTGCAGTTCATTTTAATTGAGACTAGCTGCATTTCAAGTGCTCAATAACCATGTGAGGTTAGTGTTAGTGTCTACTATACTAGAGCAGTTATTGAGTTTTAGTTTCAGATTGTAATTGGGTTTTGTTGTTTGGGTTTTTCACATTGACATTTATTTAGATTTAATGGTCTACTGTTTCTTACCTCTCACAAAGACTAAGAACTTTGTTTTATGTATTTTATAACTGTTATCACAAGCACCTAGTAAATGTTTTAAAATATTAATGGCATCTGATACAAGAATTATCAGATAATTCTTACAAAGAGGATATAACCTGTTCAAAGGTTTGTACTTGAGCATTTGAGACGTTATGGATAGCAATCTGCATTGGGTTAAATTACTGGTTTTGAGTACAATTTTAAATGTTTATCAGAAAGATAAAAGCCCTGAAAACACAGCTGGGGGAGTCAATTTCAACACTGTATTTCTACTCCATTAACCAAGACCAAAATGCAATCCGTCCTCCTGTGCCCCAGCATCTTGTACCTTCTCCACATGTTTACTCATTTACATCCAGCCGGACTGATAGAGAAGGACTCATGCATTTTCTTTTTATGCCTAAATGATCTATATTTAGGTTAATTTTACTGGGATTTCTTAGACAGTGGCAGACATTCTCTTGGTGTTCACAAATGTTAACAAATAAAAGGTTGCATGACAATTAGACTTTTCTCAGAACCTCTTACGCCTTCCATGTATAGGTCTGAACCGGAAGGCATTCCAAAGACTTCTCCAAAAGTTCGCAGAGGCCAAGAGTGAATCTCCCATTCCCTGGAGGCATATTTAGGACCCAGAAAGCTCCAGGCTGAGGACAGTTAACAAGGAGGCAGACTTCTTTGATCATCTGCAGAGTCTCTGATCACCCCTACCTGTTTTCCAATCCACGAAGCAGTGGGTGGGCAGGCTCAGTTTAAATGAATAGTCATGGTTATCACTTTGCCAACCTGGAGGAAGAAAATACCTATTAGGAGACTCATGGACCAGTCTCAGAAAAGGTGCCCCTTTAAAAGGCGTGTATATCAAGGGACTGAATTGCTTTCGTTCTTTCTTTCCATCCCACCAAAATACATTCGAAGGGCTCATCTGACTTAAAAACATCGAAGAATTACCTAAAACCGTTCTATCTTTTCACATTTCTTCCTATCCACCTATCTTCCAACCACCAGCAGCGAGCTTTACTACTCTTTGCATCCCAAGAACGTGGAAGAGGCCTGGGCAGAGGAAACAGTAAATAGTTGTTAAAGAAAATACTGCTCTGTAGTTAGATATTTTGTAATCTGCTTAAAAAAAAGTAAACATGCCGGTGTGGGGTGTTTTCTCGGATTTCTCCTTTTTAATATTCGTGTCTACACGGCTCCTTACGGGCTATCCTGAGGCCTTCCATTCGTGCACGGCGCCTCAAGGGCCAGGCAGGGGCCTCGAACCGCCCGCGCCAGGGGCTGAGGGCTCACCCGGGACCTTCATCATCTAGGCATGGGAAATTTTATTTTCTCATGTAAAAAAAACACCAAACCAAAGAAAAAACCGCTTAAAGTACAAAGTTTAGAAATGCAAAGAAAAATCAAATCCGTCCTCCCACTCGGAGATCCCACCACCTATGTTTATTAGGCTCTCGCTACTGGCTACACCCAGACTCTTCTTTCGTGAAATTTCCTTGCAGGCCTTTTTTAAACCCAAAGCCCGATTCGAGGGCTCTCTCTACCCTCCGCTCCACTCGGGGCCCGACGTATGAGGTGAAATCTTGTCAGGCAGAGGTAAAAATCTGTTAGTCTCAGTAAAATGTCGCCAGTCTGGAAATCTCCGTTTGGAATTAAGTTCTGTCATTTCGGGTAAAAATGCGTTAGCCTAGGCGGGAAAAACCGTTTGCTGAGGGAACTCCGCCAGCTTCGGACCCTTCCTCACAGGCCCGGGGCTGTCCCCGGCCTCCGGGCCCGCGCCCCCGCCCGGCGCCCCCGCTCCCAGAGGCTCCCTCCCGCCCCCGCGGCCCGCCTCCCAGCCCACATCCCCTTTACCCCCCGCTCGGGAGAGCGGCCGCCACGCTGGACGCTCTGGCCCCGCCCCTCGCGCGTACCGCGGGCCAGTGGGTGCTGAGAGCGGCCGCGCGTCACACAGCGCTGGCCAATCGCGGAGGGCCACGACTGTAGAAAGGCTGGGCGCGGCGGGGCCAGCCGCGGGCGGCGGCGGCGCGCACTGGCGTAGAGAGTATCGGGACATGGTGGTGGTGGCAACCGCGCAGAGCCCGGCCGCTGGGGCCCCCAAAGTGCTGCTGCTGTCCGGCAAGCCCGCCGCTGCCGCCGCCGCCCCGGCCGGCCGGGCTCTGCAGCTCATGGTGCCGGGCCAGCGAGGGTCCAGCCCGGAGGCGGCGAGCGGGGGGCCGCCCCAGGCGCGCAAGCGACAGCGCCTCACGCACTTGAGCCCCGAGGAGAAGGCACTGCGGAGGTGGGCGAGGGTCTGGACGCGGACCTGGAGAGCGGGGGTCGGGGGTCGGTACCAGATCCGCAGCCGGGACGGGGCTGGGGCGGATTGCCCTGGCGGGGCCGGTGCCAGCGTGGCGCCGGGCGGGGCGGGGCAGGAAGTCTGGACTGACCGGTTCCACCGAACTACGTGGAATCCAGGGCTGCCCAGGCCATTTAAAATTTCCTTCTTTTCGCTCTCATTAGAGATGACCAGAACAGGGTGTGCGGGCACCTGGGTTCCAAGCCTTCTTTCTGTGTGACCACAAACCCGTCGTTAAGCTTTTCTGAACTTGGGCTGTAACGTGGAGTCGATTAACCTTCTTGGTTTTTTACTTTTTTTTTTTTGAAGGGGTGCGGAACTGAAATGACAGCTGATGAAAAGGCTGGGGGCTCTGTAAGCCTCACTAGTCATAGTCTTTGTGCCCTTAAAATGGTACCTAGGTCGTTGGGGAGACTGAGAAATGCCTAGTACTTAGACCCCCATAAGTGTTCGTTCTTTTATGATCATGTGCCTTTTGGGATTTATTCCATGTCTCGTCAAGCAGAAATGGGCCCAGACACCAGGGGACTGCCCTGGATCTCAGCACTAGGGGGGCAGGCATCAGCTTCTCCCTTATTTGAGTTCGGTTGTCATAGCGATGTTGCAGCCTTCACTAGATTTAATCAGGAAGCAACGGGGGAGTAAAAGGGGAGAAGGAAATTTCTTATGATGCAAGATGAATAGTACATGTGTCCAGCTGTGGCTAGTATGAGACTGGGGCGGATGATGCAATCAGGGGGAAAGGAAAGTAGGTCTTCAAGCTAGATCAACAGAAGGCTGTATTTTTTTGTTTTGTTTTATTGAGGGAAGAGCCTGAAGTGTATTTTGCCTTAGTCTACTTTATACGGTAAATTAAAATGAAAGCACCAGCTGGCAAAGTTTCCAAATAAAGATACTAATAAGGTTTGGGATGACTCAGTGTGGTATGTCCCTTCTTTTCTCAGGAAACTGAAAAACAGAGTAGCAGCTCAGACTGCTAGAGACAGAAAGAAAGCTCGAATGAGTGAGCTGGAACAGCAAGTGGTAGATTTGGAAGAAGAGGTAAAAATACTTAAGGTCAAACTTATCTTTTATCTGTCTATCCTAACTTGGTGAGTGTCCTGATATTTGCTGCCCATCCCAAATTGTTTCAGCCCCTTTAGAATAGAAAATTTCATTAAAGTTAAGCTAATCTTAGGGTAGATCTACTCTTGGTTAAGTGGTGAAGCTTGATGACAACAAAGATGTGATTGACCCTCTGGCATTTGATGCTAGATCTACCTCAAAATTGGTGAATTACAACATTATGACAATGTTTATCAAGTTAGTACTAAATAAAATTAGTAAAAGCAGATAGGAAGTCATTGCTTAAACTTGAGACCCTTCCTGGCTTGGCCAGAAGTCCACTAATGGTCCCTTTCTCTTCTAGGATAGGATCCACTTGTTAACCTGATGATAAGTTGTTGCCAGTTGCACATCTTGAATACATAAGGATCATTTATATATATTTTTTATATAATCTGATTTTATGGTCCACTATTGTACTTGTTATTACTTGCCAGTTCAACATAAGGTTTTTTTTTTAACATCATGTCTAAATTAAAGCTACAAGTCACCCTTTGCTGAGGTCTAATAGTTGGAAACATGTTATTCTTGACCCCATGAAATGGCACTTCTTAAATAGCTTATTTTTCTTAATTATGGCCTTTGCTTCCAATACCAACTGAACAAAGGTGTAAGCAGTTTCCCAAAAGATCGAGAAGAAAGGAAATCAATTGTAGTGAAACTTCATCAGACAGATTAAGTGAAAAAATTAGATGTTTTCATAAGAGCTATTGTGAACTTTCTTACAGAACCAAAAACTTTTGCTAGAAAATCAGCTTTTACGAGAGAAAACTCATGGCCTTGTAGTTGAGAACCAGGAGTTGAGACAGCGGCTGGGGATGGATGCCCTGGTTACTGAAGAGGAGGCAGAGACCAAGGTAAGTCATCTCCTTTATTTGATGCCATATGTGAGAACTGGTTCTAAACCTGACATGAGCCCTTTAATGACAGTTTATTTTTCAAGTGTGTAGTGAATAACACTAAACCCTAGTAATAAGTTAGATGGCTAAGAGAGAGTACCTAAAAATACCTGTAGCCAACAATATGTACCCCAGAATTAAGGAGAATCAGAATAAGAGAGCAAAGTTTGACTTTGAAAGTTACTAAAATTATAGTTCTTTGATGAATATGAATAAGCACGGAAAGGATTCATTGTACTAGTGATACTTCTATGATGAAGGTGATGTGTGTGGGTTTTAATCTATGGATATGGCAAATTCATTGACAACACTTAAGGAGTCCAAGATAGACAGTACTTCACTCTGAAGGTAATGTTCAGGACAGGCTTAAAAAATTACTGTCCTAAAAAGATTCTGAGCTTAATTCACTATAGAACTTTGTTACTTACTAACATTATTATGGAGAATATGATCCCTTGAAACTTTAGGGAATAAAAATATTTCATTGCATGGAAAATCAAAATGAAAAGTTAGTCTTAGCCCCCCTTTTCTTACTTCTTCTTGAGGAGGACTCAAGAAAATGGAAATAACAAAGGGAAAGATTTCAGCCCTAAAGATTATTTTTTAGCATTCGTGAAAGTTGAGAATCAGAACTGCCTCATAAGTATTACATTGGGGACTGTTAGGTGTTTGAGCTGTTTATTCACTTTGATCTTTCCTCTCAGGGAAATGGAGCGAGGCTGGTGGCCGGGTCTGCTGAGTCCGCAGCACTCAGACTACGTGCACCTCTGCAGCAGGTGCAGGCCCAGTTGTCACCCCTCCGGAACATCTCCCCATGGATTCTGACAGTATTGACTCTTCAGACTCTGAGGTAGGGATTACCCAGATACATAAAGAGCTGTATAACTGGTTAATTCCATCTGTTTGATGCCTAACATCCCTAACCAGACAGATGAGGGCAGAAGTTAATTTTGGTTGGGCGAGAGGTTAACGGTGACAACTTTCCTGTTTCCAGATGCTGTGGGACGTGAAGTGTAGATAAATGGGCCTGTGGGTCCTGGAGGTCACCCTATAGTATAATTATTAGTTCACATTCATAAACCTAGTACTAAGTTGTAGGTAGATTATCAGGTGTATTCTAATAGTTGAACTCCATTTAATTTTTTGCCTCTTGCAGTCTGATATCCTGTTGGGCATTCTGTTCAACTTGGACCCAGTCATGTTCTTCAGATGTCCTTCCCCAGAGTCTGCCAACCTGGAGCAGCTCCCAGAGGTCTACCCAGAAGGACCCAGTTACTTACCGGCCCCCCCCTCTCCATCACTGGGGACGTCATCAGCCAAGCTGGAAGCCATTAATGAACTGATTCGTTTTGACCATGTATATACCAAGCCCCTAGTTTTAGAGCTACCCTCTGAGACAGAGAGCCAAGCTAATGTGGTAGTGAAAATTGAGGAAGCACCTGTTAGCCCCTCAGAGAAGGATCACCCTGAATTCACTGTCTCAGTGAAGGAAGAACTTGTAGAAGATGACTTCATTACAGAGCTGGGTATCCCAGATCTACTTTCATCCAGCCACTGCCTAAAGCCAGCTTCCTGCCTACTGGATGCTTACAGTGACTGTAGGTATGAGGGCTCCCCTTCTCCCCTCAGTGACATGTCCTCTTTGCTTGGTGTAGACCATTCTTGGGAGGACACATTTGCCAATGAACTCTTTCCCCAGCTGATTAGCGTCTAAGGGGTGCTCCAATACTGTTGCCCTTTTCCTTGACTTTTACACTGCCTGGAGGATAGTAGACAAGCTTGTCTGTGCTTCACTCAAAAAGCCAAAGTAGAGGGTGTACAGTGCTAGAGAATTCCTCTGAAGTATTTGTTCAAACCTCATAGGTTACCCTAAGTATTCTTTTGACATCCAGCAGTTGAAGGTACTCAGATGTATTATTACAATGCAGAATTACAGCTTTTGAGGTTGTACCTTTAAGGGCATAATATGCCCTAAAATACTTATGCAAGGGTCACTTGACAGTGTCTCATGGTCCTTTATCATTTTTCTTCTTGACATCCCAGGCTTACCTGATTTTAGGTCCTTTACTTTGCTTCTGCAAGCAGAGATACCTATCTGAGGTGGCTCCTTTTCCCTCATGTACAGTCCAAGTAAAGATCAAGAATCTTGTAAAATTATAGAAATTTACTGTGTAAATGCTTGATGGAATCTTTCCCTGCTAGTGTAACTTTTGGAAGGTGCTTTCTCCATTTATTTAAAACTACCTTTGCAATTAAAAAGTGCAATGCAGTGTTCTTGTTCTTTGATTCCTTCTTGGGCCTTAAGTCGTACGGTGTTTGTTTGCTATTATAGTGTTACCCAACTTAAGCATGCCACTTTTTAAAGTGACTGAAGGTTTTCCCCCTTAATTTACTGCCTGCTTCAATTCCTGGCTGCCATAAGTGATATAATCTACAAGAGTAGTTACTATATTTCTGAGACAGTTTCTTCAGCCTAATTGGCCAATATCACAGCTCATAAGTGGCAGAGCTAGAACCCTTAACAGCTGTTTTTCTATACCATCTTATGTTAGAGAAGGACATGCCATTAAATGTCGATTCTCTTGCCATTATTGGAGGGACTAAGAACATTTTCTAAACTCAAACTCCCTGGGTTCAACTCTTGCTGGTTACGTATTACCCTGGACATATAATATCACTTACTTTCTCATCTGTAAAGAGGCATAATAGTATCTCCAAAGAGAGGGTATACATTACAAGCACTTAGTAATGTGTGCTATTATCACGCACCATCTCAAGCACTCAGAATTTAGCTATTTTCTCCTAATAACACTTTGGAAGAGTTTAAATCTCTTACAGAATTACATATACTCCAGAAATTCTTTCACAAAAGAATGAACCTGTTCGAGAAAAAATCCTGAAGAAACTAATACAACCCCCAAACTACTTTGATACATCATCCTTTGTGTACATCTTTTCCTTGGGAGTCAGTCATCTTCCAAAGTATTAAAGGACTCCCCTCAAAAATGTTTTCACCCATGTCAGCATTCTATGCCAATATTTATTGAGACTACCTCTGGGGAGGTCAAAGGCAATGAACAGAAAAAAGAAAATGGGACTCAAAAACTCCAAAGCAGCAACGCAAAGCGGGCTATAATTTCAGCCAAGTCCAAGAGAATGCGTTTGGCGCCTACACAAGCATACTTGAAGGCAAGACAGCCTAAGATCCCCTGGTCATTAAAGCCAGAGCCCAATCCTAGTGCTTGGCAATGCAAGCTTGGTCTGTTTCTGTATCATAAACGTTATGGAGATACTCCAGCTGTCCAAATTATTAAAAGCCTGATTACCTGATTTTCTACAACTAAAACCTTTTAAGTGCTAAAATCTATTTAGGGATTATATAGGCAGATGTAATTAGAAATATTTTAGCCTCCCTCTGTCATAACAGTACAAGCATTTGGAGATTGAGGCTCAAATAATTTGCATTCAATGACATCACACTGAAAAAGGCAGCTGTACTAACCGGAATAACATAGGACATACATAACCTATGTAGATTATCAAGGTTTTTCATTTCCTGCACAGATGGGTGACAATTACTAGAACTGTTCAACCTTGAGAAAACACCTGGTATACAAGGACATCATATTCAAACACTAAATTGGTCAGAAATAAAAAGACCTTTTCCTGCAAAACCAAAGGATTCCTATTTAATGCAGAGGGTTAGACATAACTAAGTTTAAAAAAGGAAGTCAGGTAACATGCCTGCACACCATTTCCCTGGGCCTTGTAACACCAATCTCTGCTCCCTTGCTTTTTTCTACTAAGTGTGCTACTGAAGCAGACACTAAGCAGGCACAGAACTGTAGGCAGAAGGTAATACTGTCTAATCCAGTCATATTTTATGGCATCAGTTAAATTCTAAATCTGTCATTTAAATCTTTACCCTGTGATTTCTAAGGTTCTTTAAGGACAGGAAGACTGGCTTGTTATTATAACATCCTTGTCTTCCTAAAGCTGTAGTCTGTATTCTTACTACATGCAGTTCATCTCTAAACATGCCACTGGTAGAATCTTTGAACCAAGCTGACATACACAAAACTATATTCTTTCAAAGAGTTTGTTACACTGCCCGAACCATACCTTGGCAGGTTGTTTCAATGAAATCTAAATGGTGGTATTTTAAGTAGTGCTACAAAAAGACTAAAACCACTGGACAAGTAGGAAGAACACAGGACCTGGTGTTTATACTACTGAGTTGTTACTATCTACTTACAGGCTATTAATTTCCAAACCTTTAAAAGAAATTGGCTTTTAGCTGTATTTCCAAATTCTGATGAAAAACCAGTATCCTGAGTTTTCTGTAAATGCAACCCACATTTAAACTCTGCCTGCCCACAAATCAGGGATCCACATTTATAAAACAATTACTGTAAATATGCAGGCAATACTGCCACCCAGTGACCTGTCAACTTTAAGAGGCATGACCATACTGATGGAATTTTCCTATTCCTTATTTTTTAAAGGTCCCAAACCTGTAAAAACAAAAGAACTGTGAACTGTACATACCATTTCCAACGCCATATCTGAACACTTGAATTCGATCCCCACTGCCGATCAATGCCGCTGACTGACAAAGCACTGATTCGCTAAGTAGAGGGGAAAGTAGTCCATAGGTTTTAAAATGGCAAAACATACAATCTGCCTATTTTCGAAATAGTAAATTCATTGACACCTTTAACCCAACGTAATCATCTTTTCAGAATAAATTTAAATTCCTCACTAATAAGAATATCGCTTCAAATACAATTTAGAGGAGAGCAAAGAGCTGGTTGATTTTGTTTACTTCAGTGCAAGAATACCAATACCTCAAAAAGTCCAAAACACTTCGGAAGTTTTATTGAAAACAATACAGAAACACCAGATTCTCACTTTAAAGTAAAACAGACAGCATCTTCCAGAACTTTAGTACTGCACCATTCTTGTTACTATTAAAAAACAACCAAGTTTCAAATCCAAAATAATGAACCTGCTGGTAAGCATTCTTCTCATGGTTCTATTTTTCTGAATTTTACATTTGCACCTCTTTGAAAATGAGTAGCAGTTTCAAAAAATTTGATTAATATTTGTGAGAACTGGACTTACTTTCATATTAATTTAAAAAAAAAAGCCCCCACACACCCTACTCAACTTCAGAGAAAATACACATTTGTTCATTAAAGCTCACCTGCTTTAGGTATTTTTTCTCTTCACACATTAGCCTGGTAAGCCAATGTTTGATCCATGCTTCAAAAGCTGTACAAAATGAAAAGGCCTGTTAATTCCCTAGGGAAACCTTAAGGCAAAAGCAAAAGCCTTGCACTACAGAAGAAAAGCACAGCAGAGGCGGGGGAACTATGCAAACCGCTCAGATGAATAAGCACCACAAGGATGAAGACGACAATTTGTATATAAACATACGCAAGAAGAAAAAGTTTAAAAAGGAGCATCAAACACCCATTTTCCTGCAGAAATAATTATCATTATCAGATAACTTGACTCCTGAAACAAGTTCTGTTTTGATTTTAATTAACAGAACCTTAATTCTCTCCTACATTTGCCAGTGATTATCAAAGCCTTGTTTTGGAGCTCTTCTTTCCTCCTTTTCATCGTGCAGACCTTTTGATCAGAGGCCCGTTCAACAATTGCTATAGACGACAATCTCAATGTGTTCTGGCCTTCTTTGGACAGTTGTTACTCCCTTTTCACCACAACATTGGGACTCACTCCACATGCAGGCAGTCACTTCATGTTTCTGAGTTGTACCGGAACAAATTTTTTAGCACGGAGATTTCTTTAAGGCTACAAGCTTTACAAGTTGGTCCCATTAAACAATGACCCAAAGGCAGGAGTGTTTCAAATAGCATGAATCAAATACTTGCACATTTCAAAAGAATACAGTTTACATTCATCTCTAAATCTGAGATTAATAAACTATTAGCTGGTTTCCAACTGGTTTCAATACTGGTTTGAAGTTTGAGTAATTTTACTGTGTAGACATTAAATATTTTGTTTAAATATTAAACATTAAATATTTTCCTGACTATCCAGACAGAAATAGAGAAAGCAGAACAACAGGCAAATGAGAAGAAACAGTCTAATCAACAGACATGTTACTTCTATACCATCTGTAACAAGGGGAGGGATTTCACCATAGGTTTCAAAAATTCCTGGGAGCCGGTTTCTAAAAAGTCACCTCTACTTGGCATAAACCATTTTTTTCTACACAAGATATCTAATTCCTACAAAGAGGGAAGAAACCCAGAAAACAAAACAAAAAGAACTAGGGTGGCCTCCTATTGTGTGATGAAAGGGCCAGTATTACACTATTATACTCATTAAGTTATAGTGGATATTCCAGAGCACTAAAGGAACCGTTATTTTATTTTGCACTACTGAGTCCTTGACACACAGAAAAGTGCTTCCTGAGAAAAACTTCAATCCTGGTTATTCCCAAAGGACAACTTGAGCTTGGTTTAGTTTATGAAGATGAAGATACCCTGCTAGGAGGAAGTTACTGTCTACCAACCTTTAGGCTTACTGTACACTAGCTGAAGCACCAGGCAAATTGGCTATTTCAGTAAATCTCAATTTCATTTGCCCATTTGATCTCAGTTAACTATTCAGTCACTGTTTTCTAAATTAACATTTAAAAATTCAACCTATACAGGTACCACCTTTTTTTTTTTTAAGTACAGAAGTTATCAATGCTGGGCTGACACAGCATCAACTCGAGATTACCTAAGGGATGCTTTTCCCATAGCCAAATTTGCACATGAGTTTATCTATCTTTTTAACTATCATTCAAAATTGAGCTGTAAACATTACTGAATAACTGGGCTTACTAATTATGCAAGGGAAATCAAGGAGCAACAGAAGCACAAGACTAAAAAAGCCTTGAAGGAAAAACCTTTTCTTTGTATTTTCATTGCATTTTCAGAGGCAAAAAGGTGAGCCACAATGCTACTGGCTATTTAATCACCATAGCTACACTGAAGTGACAACTAATGACATAAGTTTCGGGGCCTCTGTTAAATTTTTTAGCAATAGGCTTAAGCTACTGCTTTCTTCCCTCCTTCTCCCCAGTCATAGTCACCATTGTAAACAGAGTTCATATCTACAGGTAAGTTGTGACTCAACTGTCAAGGTACAGTTGTAGTAGGAGCATCCTTCTCTTAATCATCTTTTCAACTCAAGTCTCTGAATATCCTCCAAGTGTCTGGTTTAGATAGTGTGACAGATTAAGTCACCCTCTCACATATAACTTCTATTCTTGTCTTTGCAGACTAATCCCACACTCACTTAGTAAGACCCCCTAGAAAACTGCTTTTCCCTTGAGACAAGCTTCCTTGGGTAAAAGTTGAATTCAAGAAATGGCTACCCAAAATGACAGTCCCACCCCAGATCACAGGTGGAGATATTATTACACCCGTTTCACAAAACTTTCAAGTCCCTATACTACACAAGTAGGCTCACAATGAAATAAATGAGCCTTCTAAGATTTGACTTTAGTGTAGAAACTAGTTTCTAGAGTTCCATCTCTTCTTCTGTGCAAGCAGCTGTCTCCAAACTACTGTAAACAGGCATCCCTGTTTGCCGAGGCTCTAAGAACAGTTCAGTTCTCCGAGGGAAGGCAGTGCCAGCAGCTGCATGTTTCGTGTGGCTCTCTCCTGCATAGTTCTTATCATTAGATGGTGGCTTTGGCTTATCAGAAAGGAGTTCAGGGAGAGGTTTCCAGAGCACAAGCTCCATGGAAGGACGGCTCCTAAGACATAAAATACAGATTTTTATAAAAAATTTTAGGCTTGAAAATAAAAGATATACACTGAAAAGCTAATGTGTGCTACCTAGTATCTAGAGTTAAGAATGAATGGCACAATAATAGATTTATAATAATCCAAAGTGATCTTTAGAAAGGCCACTCAGATACATAAAATTTTAGTTCTGCATGCATTTTTAACCAAACCAACTGGTTGAACTGATATTGTGATTAAAGTAATATAAATATCCACTGTGAAAATTAGAATACCTTGTTTTAACATTGTAATTTTTAAAGACTGTGGTTAATATTAACAGATATTGGCTACTATCTTGTACTAAACTATACTAAATAAAATGAAACACTGGCCAAACACATTACAAGTACCTTGGTATGCCTTTTGCTTATCACTGGTATGAACTACATTGCTTTTTGCAATAAGCCAAAATGACTGTGTTGTCAATGCCTATGCCTGCCCCTCAGCCCTCCCCCATTCAGTGACGGCATGATGGTTTCTGGGAACAAAAGGCAAAGAAGGCAAAATAAAACACAATGAAGAATACCTCCAAAGGCCAGCTTCTGGAAAACTTCTAAGAGCAGAAAGTACTGCTTTAGGCTAGAGGACAATGTAACCAGCTTATTCTTGGCTAAACTATTTAGCCACTCTCAGGGCTAAGTAATTATAAACTCAAGCTGGGAGGCTAATGCAAAACCTTTGTGATTTAACATCAAGCAGCAGCTGACCCACTGTGGCCAAAGGCGTCTGGGACTGCCGTCCTAAGAGAATTTTTTAAATATCTGACACTCATCCTACAAACCAAGTCTGTCTAAAATCTTCCCTAGGCAACACCTAAATGTCCCTTTATAACTGCCTGTTCTCTCATACAGTGGATAATGACGACTTGAGATCATCCAGACTCAAGGACTGTAAGAATTACAGGCCTATCATTAGTTCTTATTAATGGACCCCAGGTTGCTTTGCTTTTTAGGCTCTCATGTCTGCTTTCCAGTTTCCTCTCATCCTCACCCTGTACTGTCACTATTCACTACTATTTGTTCTGCTGTCACTTGCTATTTCTGTGTTTCTACGCTGATGATCTAGAAAACTGGATAAAGTGAGCTCATGAACCTGTGTCTAACTTCAGAGCAAAATGGCTCTTAGTGCTTTCACTTGGCTGGATGGAGATCAGGACACAGAGATGGCTAGGATAGGATGGGTAGTAGTGGCCAAAGACACTGGGTTTTCCCTCCCAAGATCATAATTATATGGAAACCAAGAACCAAAACTTACATGGACTCAATCATTTTCTTTGTAAAGACTTCATCAAATTCTCTCTTCAAACCAGTCTTCATCGTATCAGAAAGGATAAGACTGGGGAGATGGTTAATATTTCTGTCAGCTTCAACTTCTTCGTCTTCATCAATTATCCTAAATAAAGGCAGCAGAAACAGAGAAAGAAAAGTTAGGCTACTACATATTTTAGTAATTAAACAAAAATTTAAAAGGATAAAAGGATAAAAGTAAAAGATCAAGTAAGAGAGAGGCTATACATGAGTGAAAAAGCATATACAGAAGTTATTCATTATATCACTTAAAAATGTTCTACATTAGATGCTATATTTTAATGTGTCCCTGAAAGCTGATAAACCAAAAATTTAAATTCAGAAATAGTGAAAGTATTTAGTTCTACAAAAAGAGCTCACTTTAACATTTAATGTGTACATTTTGAGTTCCCTGATTTTCACGTTCTGAGAGGATGAGGATCAAGGTATCACCAAATGAAGAATTAGAGTAGTTTAAGAGTAAAGACTTTCCACAAGAACAGCAACAGCCGGTTATATACGCTGTCCATTTACCTGTCTTCAATTTCCTGAAGCCTCCTTCGGGCAACTTCACACTGTGGTTCTGCAGTTGTCTGATCCATTTCTTCACAAATAACATCTAACATGGCAGGTGCAGAAAGGCCACTAGTGCACAGATTTACTCCATGACCCTCTATATCCTGATGTGCACAAAGAATCCAGTCATTAGGACCAGCACAGAGCCCAGCTTCAGTTAGCCTTTTCTTTCTTACTGGACAACTGAAGAAAAAAAAATTTAATGAAAATTCAGACTAATATAAATGAAATTATATCATCCCTACCTCTAAGGAAATTCTTATAAAACACTCTAATTTTTGACAGTGTGTGGTTGTAAGATGAAAAATCACCCATTTTCTTTTCTATCATCCTCATAGCTTCCTTCAGATGTCTTCTGCTCTCCACTAAATTCTGCCTTTTCAGATTAGAAGTGTTCAATGTGGGAACTTAAGAGTCATCCCTATTTATTTGGCTCTGGACAGGTCAAGTGGGAAGTAAACAAAAATCATAAAGCCGCAGTTCAGTGCCAGCCATATTTTGTCATAACACTGCTATTCCATCAAACTGGTCATATGGGGGGTGGTCTGCAGTCATTCTGTATTCCCTTAGAAGAAAGATACACGCCTCATCAGGTCTGCCCCAAGTACTGCAGGTGCAGATGATACTGCTCATTTCTTGGTCCTCTCCAAAATGTCAGAGGCTGTCATTTACCTTTGAGTCCCTGACTAACAATGAGGTCCACTTTTCTCCCACCTTGCAACACAGACTATCTTCATTTCCTGGAAAAACTGTATTTCACAGAGGCCTTAGAATTCATCAAATCCAATTTCCTTGTTTTGCAGGTTTGGAAATTAGGACCTAGAAAGCTAAAGCGCTCCCTCCTATGTGTCATGTAAGGCAGTGCTGGGCACCAGACCCCAGAGCTCCTGAATCCCACCTCTTACATTTTCACTAAAAACTCCTGACTCCTTAGTGAAGTTCAACTGTTAAAGCTCTTACCATGGACTAGTATTTGCAAACACAACATACCCAGTTTAAAGTGGTATGAAGTAAGGTGAGTAGACAACCAGCTCTGCTCTTTTTAAGTATTTAGACCAAAAGTACTTTATTATGGGCATGAACACGTGCAATTTCAAAATCAGAACACAACTCTACAACAAAAATAAAATTCATTAATGGCTAGCACAGCTTTTGATTCTCTAAACTAAGGGTCAAAGGAAGAAGCATTTATTTTACAAGGAGAAATTTCTATTTCATGTTAAGTCTACGAACATCAATATTAAAGTTGCTGGCAATATAGAATCTGGCAAGCAATAATGCTCTTGAACCTAGATTTCTGACTGGAATCAACTATTAACAGTATGTTTAGCTTATAATTGTTTTAATTCATAAGAAAAGATTAAAAATGCCTACCATGCATAAAATATTTGTTAATACTTGGATAATTTTAAGCATGTGATGTTGTAGAAAGCAGAAGTTGTTATACACATAAGAAACCAGTTAAGAGAAAGCAGAATATATCTAAAAGGAATGGGTAATTTCCCAGCACAACTAACAATTCAACTATTAAACGCAACTAAATTTAAGAGCTAGATTCCAACCTCTTAATTCTCCAATGTGTTTTGGTTTCAATTATCTTATGCCTCTAGGTCCATTTTGTAAATAATTAGAGATCAATGATGATTAAGTCCCAAAGAAAATGTAGTAACAGAAGACTTCAAAGTACTTGTAAGAGCTATGGAAATGACAGCTGTACACTTCTGGGCCGTAGACATCAGAAAGTTGAGTCCCTCGGTCTTCCAGAGCCTCAACCTTTTTGTGTGTAAATTAGAGGTGGTTACTGAGAAGGAACTAGTGGTTACCAAGGGGAAGAGGGGTTGGGGGGGGTGGGAGAAGGGCATTAAGGCACACTATAATTTGCAATTACAACACAGGTTGGTCACTGGGATGGTAGTACAGCCCGGAGAATACAACTGACTCTGTAACATCTTACTATATACATTGACAGTGAGTGCAGTGGAGGGGGTGAGGTCTCGGTAATAAGGGTGAATGCTGAACTACTGTTTTGTGTATGTGAAACCATCATAAGATTGTATATCAATGATACTTTAATAAAAAAAATTAAAGGTAGTTAGCTTTTTAAGCCAATAGTTTCTACAATTCAAATTTTTTAACACTGGCACTCTTTATTCAATATCTTTTATATGGAACCCCAAAAGATAAAAGCAGAGAGGTCTCTGTGTATCCAAAGCATTCCCAAGGCAATAAACAACATAAATATTGTGTGGTCCAGTGGTTTTAAAAATTAAGGCAAGTTTCAAATCTACTGTCTTATTATTAGCCTATGTATCAGCAAGGTTAGAAAATCCAGTTTATGCTGGCAAAAAAAAAGCACAACGTTAAAAGACAAGTAACAATCTGGGGAACACATCTGTAACTCACATAATAAACTGATTTCTTTAATAAAGACTTCTTATAGATGAACAAGAGAATGAACAATAATCCAATAAAAAATTTGCAGAAACATAAACAATTCACATATTAAACGAAATTGGCTCAAGATGTTCAACATCACTTATACTTTATAAAATGCAAATTAAGTGATCTAATTTCTTTTGAACTATAAAATCTTACACTCGTAAATACAAACATACAAGTTATAAAACATCCATTAAAATGACATTCAAGATACCGACTACTTACAGCATCCTAAAATGGTACTCTATTCCCTTCTCCCTACATGTAATGGGGTGTAACGGAGTGTAATGTGATGCAGTAGAGGGTACCTGAGTGGTTTGGAAGGGAATGGAGCCTTCTATGACAGAATGGAATGCAATAGAATGTGGTGGAAGTTGCGGAATGGAGTGGAATGGGGTGTAATGTGATGCAACAGAGGGTACCTGAGTGGTTTGGAAGGGAATGGAGCCTTTGACGGAATGGAACGTAATAGAACGTGGTGGAATGTTCCCTACATGTAAACATTTTTATGACAATTCATTAAAAAAATTACCATGCATGTAAATATGCATCCTAAACAATGTTTAGTTTTGCCTGGTTTTGAACTTTATATTGAGAGAATTTTACTGTATACATTCTTGTGATATTGCTCTTGCTCATTTCATGTTGTTTATAAGACCCATCTATGTTGATAGGTATATTCTTTTTTTTTCTTTTTTGCTGAATAGAACTCCTGTGTATGAATTTGTAATTTATCTGTTTTCTGTTGAGGGACATACGAGTAGTTTCAGTTTTGAGCTATTATGAACAAGGATGCTACAAACTTTCTAACACATGTCTCCTGAAGCAAGCATGTACATACTCAAGGAGGGGAACTGTTGGGTAATGGGTATATGAGCCTTCAACTTTTAAGACAGTGCCAAACTGTTTCCCAGTGTGCTTGTACCAATTTACATTCTCATCCATAGTGTTTGAAAGTTCCTGATGCTTCATAACCACTCCAATATGTGGTGGTAGAGTATCTCACTGTGGCTTTAATATGCATTTCCCTAAAGACTGATGAGATCAAACATCTTTTCATTTGGTTAGTCATTTGGATATCCTCTTCAGGAAATGCTTTTACTTATTTTTCTACTAGACTGCCTAACCATGAGATTTAATATTTTACCTATCAGTGAAATCAAAGTTTGAAAATACAGCTCTGGTGAGAAGATGGCGAAAAAGGCATTCCAGTGTTAGAAACATAAACCGGCAACAACTCCTTTCAAAATTTAAATACATACACTCAGACCCAACAATTCCCAATCTAGGAATACATTCACCTGCTTGCAAATATATACAAAAAATTTAAAATGAATCATCATGGTGGATTTGTTAGTAATAATGAAGGATTAGAAATAACTTAGAAATCCATCAATAGGAGACTGGTTAGTTATCCTTACCTAGACTTTCAAAAGAATGCCAGTCAACTCTTGAAAAATTAGGTAGAACTCTGTATGGGGAAATGCAACAAGCTACAGGAGAGTAAGGTGAAAACAATGTGTGGCACAGTGTCAACAGTGTCTTCTTACAAATGTGACAAAACAGAGATATAGACACACAGTTATAAACTTTTAAGTTTCTAGATGATCTTTCAAAGGAGAAATGGGAAACAAGTAGCGGGATTCCTCTGCAGAGAAGTGGGAGGGCAGTGTGTAATTTTCAATACGGATCCTTTTGTGCACTTGAAATTCTTTTACTTTGTGCATAATTTTCACGTGACTCAAAATCCAAACATTAGAGTAAGTTACTAAATTTCCCTCTAACCTGCCAACCACCACCATGACCCTTCTGGAAAGACAACCAATGTTAGCAGTTCCTTGTGCTTCCTTTCAGAGATACTTAACGTTTCACCTTTTCACTTAAAACCAGGTAGTTGGAGACATAGAACAGGTGAAATTGGGGTTAAGCACAAAGTGAATAAATGGCGCCTGGAACTTACTCATCCTCCTCCTCCTCCTCCTCCTCCCGCTTGTGTTTCTTTTTACAGTTCACTGCAACACTGCTGAAACAAAAACGTCAAGTCAGCGGAGAAATGGATGGAGCTTGTGCTTTCTGCACCCACTTTCTCGCTCCCATAACCTTGTCCACTCCGCGCGTACCGGTGTCCCTTCCCCTGCCGGCCGGGGACGGCTACACAGGTCACAAGGTCAGTTAGGGAAACGCGGGGTGGTCCCCACATTGGAACCTGGAATCCAGACTCCTCACTGGGCCAAGGTGATGGCGGAGGAATCGGAGGGGCCCGCGGCGGGGCGGGCGCCGGCGGGGCGCGTTACGTGCCCGCTCTCTCTAGGAGGGCCCGTTTCGCTGCCACTCCGCGGTAAGTGGGTGTCGAGAGGCGCTCCAAGTTGCTGCTAACAGCGGCCGCGCCGCGTCTGGAAGGGGAGCGGGGCGCGTACGTCGGCCTGGGTTCCGATCCCGGCCCGACCCGGGCGAGCTGGGGAAAGTCTCCGCACTTCCCGGAGGCGAAGGCGGGCGGAGGTCCGAACCGGGCTCCCCGGCCGCGCGACCTCAGGCGCCTCGCACGGCTAACGCTTCCGTCCCTGTTACCCGGCCCTGCGCAGCCCGCCGCGGCGTCGCGAGGAGGGAAGGTTAAAAAGCCCGCTCGCCCGCCCGCCGGCCCGGCCCGCGCCCGCCACCCACAGGGCTCCTCACCGTCCGCGCGCCGCGCTCCCGCCGGGGCTGCCGGGGGCGGCGCGGGGTCCCGGCCGCGGGGTCAGCTCGGCGCCGCCCGTCCCCGGCGGGAAGGCCCGACCCGGGCAGCCCGGCGGCGGCGGCGGCTGCAGGAAGTCCGAGCTGCCGCTCAGGGCAAGGCCGCTGAAGGGCCGGCCGAGTGCGGCCATGGCCGGGGAGACGAGGACGCTGCGCCCGCGGCCCCGGCCTCCCGCGTCCCCAAGCCCGGCGGTGGCGGCCACAGCGACGGCCGAAAGGAGCCCGCCTCCAGAGCCCGCTCTCAGCCCCACGTCACGCCTTCTAGAACCCTCCACCCCGGGCCGCCCAGGGGCACGCTGGGATTTGTTGTGTGTGGAGAGCTGCCGCCGCAAGGGATGCCGGGAGAGGCAGTCCTTGCAGACTACTAACAAGATGGCTGCCTCGGCTTAGCCGCTTGTGACTTGAGGACGGCCCTGGCAGACCTTGAAGACGACGTAGTTCGAATCCTTACCCGGCAAGTTGTGTAACCTCTTTGCCTCAGTTTTCCCGGTGGTAAAATCTAGTAATAGCAGTACCTGTCGTCATAGTTTTATGGCAGAGGTACACGAGTGAGAACGTCTACAGCCCTTAGAACACTGCTCAGCACACAGCACACATGCATAAAATATCAGCTATTTCTGTTTTAATATAAATGAAGTTGGTGATGCCTTAGAGGGAACAGCATGAAACACTAGTAAAAACCTCAGAGCTCTTGTGAGAGGTACTGGAGAGCCTTCCCGTCTCTGCCTGGGGCATCCAGGAACATAAGCTTGCAAGAGAGGCTGGCAGAGTTGGTAGAACCCCAACCACTGATCATACCCCATTTTTTCCATCTCGGGGAAGGACACCATCTTACAATCTGAGTTGCTTATACCAAAGTCGATGCCCTTCAGCCAAAGCCGACCAAGAACACACCTATAACTGAACAATGATGGATTTGTTGACTTACTGAAGTGAGGTGGTAAGGGGGTGTTAGGGCTTCTTAAAGGATTTCAGCCTGTGGTAGGTGATTTGGGTAAGGTTCAAGGAAGCTAGGCTTTGCTCTGGAGTTAATACTGTCAGGAAGCCGAGATAATTCTGTGATTGGTATCTTAGTCAATCTTTTCTAGAAGGTAGGAGTAATGAAGTGAGGCTAGCCCTCATAATTGGTAGGGAAGCAACATTCCTTCTTATTAGGTAGGAAAGGGGGATGTTTGGTCATTTTTGTTGTTTGAACAATGTTCACATTTTATCTGTGTTCAGTCATGAATGTGAACTGGTCCTGTTTTTATCCATTGAAGTCACATCTCAGTTCTTGTTTGATGTTGACATTCTGTGAATTGTTTAACGGGAAGATGCCAAGGCTTACCTGATAGTCCCAGGCCAGTTTCAGCTGTCAGGAGATACTTTTCTCTTTCCAATGAAAAAACCCAAGCATCATCATTGATGTCTCTTTTTTGTTCACCCTTGTATTTAATCAGTTAGCTTTGGGAAATCCTTCCAGATTCTCATCCTCTTTCTCCATCCCAATTGCCGTCAGTGATGGTCTAAGAAGAAACAAATGAACTAAAAGGGTTTAAGTTTTCCTAGTGGCATTTATAATGCAGTTTTGCCTCCCTAAAGAAATGCCCTATTTACTTCAACTGGATATAACAGATAGTCTCCTGGGTCATTTCTACAAATGGCCACCTCATTCCTCACCTGAAAAAACATCCTTCCAGATGATGTTATATACACATATAGATACATGCTTGTGAAAATAGTCATACTCTACATGTATTTTTATTCTGAAACTTTTCCGCCTAATTATATTTCTTGAATGCCTATCCAAATTCATTCGTTAAGTCACAATTCTATACTAAGTTGTATACCCCTTATCAGACAATGTACTAGAATTAATAATTTATGAGGTATTTCCTATTTGCAGGTGCTCTCTACCCAGATTAAGTCAAGTATTCCTCACAATAACTCTGTGAATGGATGGTTTATTATCCCCATTTTACAGATGAGGAGATTGGAGTAAGTTATGGTCTTCAACCCCCTTGGTTATAAGTGAGTTCAACCCCAGGTCTGAGAATTTAGATCGTGCTAGGCTTTGCTCTATCTCATTGAATTCCCTGAAACTGCTTTGGAGGACCCAGGGAAAGCCTTACTACAGTGTATCAGAGAGAGACTCCTTGCAGCTTCAGACTCTTGGAAGCAGAAGACAGGATTATTATGTGTTGTACACCAGAGGAGCCTGGGAAGAGAGGCTGTAGAACTTGGCAGCAGCCACTGAGAATACCTCTTCTTCTCAGTGACAGTCTAGGCCTGCCCTTTGAGGTGATTACCAGCTCTCCTCGTACGGGATTGGTGGGTGAGACACATACAGACATTCAGACTGTCTCTATTCTCCTGGTGGCTAATCTTACGATATCTTTAAAAATATATAATAATAATAATGTTTCCTGGTTATAAAACTAACACAGATTCTAGTAGAAAATTAGTGGAGGCAGTGATCAACGTATAGAGAAGCAAAAAAAAAAAAAAAATTGCCTTAATACCATCCCACAGGAATTTCCACTGTTATGAACATCCTTCCAGTCTTTTTTCTTATTTGTGTGTGTGTGTACATGCACATGCCTATGTGCTAGTGCATTTTCTCATTTCACTCATAGCTGAGAGAATAAGTAATTTGTCTACATAATTATTACTAGTTAATAGAGTACAGCAAGAAACAACCTTCTCAGGATGTTAATACAAAAATATTACGCTTCATCCCCTCTGGAAGACACCAAACCAAATTATAGGTGGCACTGACCTGTGAGGGGTGTGGTTATCAGAACTTGCCCTTTTTGCATATAAAATTTAAGCTCTTATTCTTTTCCAATGAATATATACTACTTTGTAGTCAGCCAAAGGATAAATTTTTTTGAAATAAAAATGTTCAATATGACAAGGTGCAGTGGACTGAATACTGTGTCCCCCCTGCCACCCTTGCCAAATGCATATTTTGAAATCCAGACCCCTGATATAATGGTATGAGAAGGTGGAGCCTCTGGGGAGGGATTCTTAGGTCCTAAGGGTGGAGCCTTCATGAATTGGGGTAGTGCCCCATAAAAGAGACACCAGAGAGCTCTCTTGCCTGTTCCACCATGTAAGGTGGCAAAAGGATGGCCACCTATGAGCCAGGAAATGGGTCACCACTAGACACTGAATCAGCTGCTGCCTTGATCTGAGACTTCCCAGCCTCCAAAACTGTGAGAATAAATTTCTGTTGTTTATATACTACCCAGTCTATAGTATTTGTTATACAGCAGCCTGAACAGACTAAGACACAAGGTTAAAAACAAGAGGCCAAAAGATAAGCAGCAAGCATTTATTGAGCATTTACTGTGTACCAGGCACTATACTAAGTGCAGTACTTCATGTCTGCTCCACCACAACTCTGTACTATGGTATTAATATCACCACTTTTCAGAATAAGAGCCTAAGATCCAAAGAGGTGAAGGAAGTGCCTCAAGGAAGACTAACAGTAATGATGGCTCTGGAAAGATCTGGCTGATTCCAAAGCCAGGATCATCCTCACTGCTTTCTGCAAGCAAATAGAAACATTCTTTGCTGTTGAGCATTCACAAAATGCATGTTCAGGGAAAGAGTTTTCTATTATTTCTCTAGAGAAACAGAATCAATAAAACTTAAATGAGCATCTATATCTATATTGACAGACCTATTATAGGAATTGACCCACATAATTACAAAAGCTGAGACGTCCCATCACCT